TCCGTTAAAAGTAACAAAAAAAAAAAAGAAAAAAAAAAAGCAAGGAAAAATGATAAAAAGCATGGAGTGCCCGTAGACATGTTTTTAGTTGCCTGAAAATGGCGCTCTCTATTGCCATGTTCCTTCTAAGAAGCCATGTTCTGACGTTTCCAACTGACATCCAGAGGGATCCTCGTAAAACTTACCTCTCCCCCTCTCCCTTAAAAAACGCTTGCCATGTTATGTAGAACTTTTAAGAAATTGTAACAAACGGAAAAGCTAATTGCCCTCATTCCGGCATTTCAATTAATATTTTAGTGATTTTTATTTCATTTTTTTCTTGTTCTTGTTTATTTATTTGTAGCGCCTTTGTTTCTGTCCAGGCACATGGCAAACGTTTCAGAGTTTGTAACAACCGTCGTTAACAGTACTTAAAAACAGCGTTGAATTTTGATCACCGAACAGAAATATTTTGATATAGAGATCTATCGGGTCAATAAAATCTGTAGTCATTACTCTGTCTTGTTTATAGTTTGTACGTTGTGGTGTGGGTTTGGAAGGAAAGGAAGTTTTCACTTGACCTCTTACAAATGCATGTTCACCGGACCGAAAATGGAGGTTTTCGAAAACGCTCTTCAGACCGGAGGAATTTGAAAACGCCGGCTTTACGTTGAATTGTGGACTGAAAACATTTTGAAAACGGAGCATTTCAAAAACAATAATAAAACATCTTGATAATCATGTGATTAACTCTAACTCTCAAGGGTGCATTCGAGCGTTTGCATAGACCTTCCGAAAGTCGAACTTCGCTTAACCATCGCCCTCCAGCGAAGCGAGAGACAGAACTTGGAGCGACGAAGTCGCGAGAGGAGAAAATAAACAATGAAAATACTATTGGAAAGGACTTAGCAAGTCTAGCTTTTTCACTCAAATTTCTCCGGCGTGGTGTGAACGGATAACATTTGATGCGTTTGCGGAGTGAAAACTCTTTTTCAAATTTCTCCAGTCCAGTGTGGAAGGGGTCAAAGTTGCTTGACCGAACACTCGTATCCAGGCCCCAGAGGCTGATAGTGAACAAGGCATTCTGGTGCTTAGGATCGCGATGATCCAGCTATGCAGGCTCCGGAGCGAACGGCGGCAGGCAAAGAAATGAGAAAAAGAATCTAAAAGCTAGGACCGCTGTTGCGCGTTTACCTTGAAGACAAAAAGCGAACCACTTCAATAAAAGTGGAATTAACGAATTGGAAGCAAAGGAGGAAAGATTCCTTCACGGTTTCTCTGCTGACTTTTGTTGTTGTTGTTTGTTGTTGTTGTTGTTGTTATATATGCCATTGCTTGGCGCAAAGATGTTTTGCTTGTTTTGTGAAAAAGGTTGTTTGTATCATAGAGGATTGTCAAAGTATGACGTTTGGGTGGGAAAACCTTCACAAATGAAAAGGTGAGAAAAAGCGGTTTTATCGTTAGGCATCCGAATTGAACGAGAAACTGAAACATAAAGAATTTTGACTTGTTTGCGCAACACTGGCAATTTTAAAAATTTTTTAATCTGTCTTATTTGAGATCATATAAACCTTAAAAAAAAATCATTTAACTTTCCATCAGCATTGATCACAGGCTATTAACAGCTTTTCAAAGTAATATTCCTGGTAATCGACTTTCGGAGGGGCTGGCCATTCGCTCTCCGTCATTTTTATCTGTTGTTTATCGTTAGTTTTAGCGGCAAAGTTAGCGTGTTGCATGTTTTCATTGCAACAATTGAAACAACGCCGCGAGCATGTTGCGGCACGCTTTCACTCGTATCAGACGCTCTTTGAAAACAATAGATATCGAAAATTCCTCACAATGGAGCGGTATGTTTATTCATTCACGTTAAAGAAAAGCCGCTGTGGCGCTAAATTTGAAAAGTGCAACGAAGTCTTTAAGAAGGCTGATGTCATTTGCGATCAGTTATTTGTAAGGGCAACATACATCGCAGCCATTAATGATTCGAAGAGAAATGGAAGCAAATTCTAGTGCTTTTAAGAATCCTTTGCCACTTGCTATTGACCCAATGAAGTTCAGTGAAGAATCAACAAAGAGAAAGACGTCGTTTATGGTTGATGATCTGGTTCGAGATCCAAACATTTTGATGAGCGCGGCGTCACGGAGTCTACCTGATTCAAGTTTTCGAGATAGAGTGCAACAGACGATAAACGAAGCTACCTTGAGTAAACCAGGTATTATTTACGTTAATTACAACCGTAGTACTTTCAATGTTTTAGTATCCAAAACTGATTATAAATTAATCAACACCGTTAGCTTATTTAAGTGATACATAGTTTATCAACAAGCCGATCGAGAGATGAAATTTGCTGTGCGGGACAATTCTGGAGTGCATTAGTTCCCCATCAGTTTGACTTTCCCAAGTTTCAGTAGCTTAGTTCGGACTTATTTCATTAACTGTCTGGTCGCGCAAAGTGTGATAAAAGTTTTTAAGAAGCTTATTGCATTTGACACAAGAACTCTTAAAACAGAATCAGTCTTGCTACAATTTTGTGTTGACAAACTTAATCACCTTGATGCCTTGTATGCAAAATATAGAGTAGCGCATAGAGTCTATAACTAAGAAGGATAAATTGTAAGGTTGAACGCAAGTCTTGAAGATAAGGTTCTGTTTTCCGGCTTATCGGACACAACTAGCGAAGCAGTATCATTCCGTGGAAACTTAAAGTTTGGAGGAAAAGTAACTTGCGAAATTAAATTTTAACCAAAATAATAAAAGGATAGTTTAGCCGACTGCAAAAAAAATGACTTTAGAGTAGAGTTTATCGCTAGCAAGCTGGCAAATTGAATCAAAATCTGGTCACGAATTTAATTGTGTAACTTGCAGATGGCGAAGAATCAAGTCCTGCTCATGTACGATCCAGCAAGTGCCGTTCGTCTTTCTCCGTGGAGCAGGTTTTACAATTGGAGCGAGTGTTTGAACGACAGAAATATCTTGGCTCCAGAGACAGACAAAGACTTGCAGAGGAGCTACAGATGACAGAAACACAGGTAAAGGAAAAAAAAACATTCTTGTCCGAGTAACTTTCCATTATTGCTTATAAAAGAATACTTACGCTTGGCTAAACTAATTTCATCAAGAGTAGGTAATGCATTGCAATGAGGAGTTGAAGCAAAGACATGCACGCTGTACTAAGCGCGGGAAAATGCATGTAAACTGGTCATGGTCTTACCCCTGATTGGTTGAAAAAGGGCAAAGTGTGCTTACAATGATTGGAGAAATTTGAAGCCTAAGTCCATTGGCCCGCAAAGCGTGCAAAGAGAAGCCATAGCCTTTTGCACGAATTGCATACCTATGACATTGAATTATATTTAGTGGAATTCTACTAGCCTGCGAACAGGCTCCCGGCGAGGACGGAAAAAAATTCGGCGAGCAAAGCGAGCGGACGAGCGCGAACTGAAGAAATCGGAGAGCGAAGCGATCAGGGCCGAACGGGCTCGCCTGGAGCCTGTTCGCAGGCTAGAATTCTACTAGCACACTGATGCAAAAGCTGACTGACTGATCATGAGCTATTGCACACTATCAGCCATTAGTGTGCAGTAGATTAATATTTAGAAAAACAATTGGAAATGGTTATTTGTAGGAATTTAGTTAGAATTCTACGAAAACGATTACATTATCAGTTGAAGTGATAGTTGATTCGGCCTTCAACCTCATCAACTATGACTTCATAGAAATCTTAAGCTCATAACGTAATTTTTTTTATGTATATTTAAGTTACTCTCTCTACTTAGCGTAACCTTATGCGAGAATATTGATTTTTGGCAGGTAAAGACTTGGTTTCAAAACAGACGAATGAAAATGAAGAGAAAGCAGTCTGAGGCCACTGAGCGCAGAGCCAAACTATCTTTCCTCAACAGCCTTGCCTACAACATGCAGCCGAGCTGTCATGGTTACCAGCCATACTACCCAACCCAGTGTCCGCCCGCAGGAACACCTCGTCTTCTCTATCCAGGCCTCGCTCCTCCCGAGTGCTCGTGGCCGCATCAGTCCCCAATGAATTTTTCGCCCACTCAGCCTGCTCTGAGTTACTTTCCTCCACCGCCACCTTGGGAGTGCCTTCCAGAACACATGATCGACAGATGCGCTTCTTTACTAAACGGTCGCGTGGATTCAGAGGAAACCACGCGACTATCGCATTTCACCTAAGCTTGAACGCAATAATCGAGAATTTCTTTAATGTGTAATTAGTTCGTAAAACCCTTTTTGAAAGTCAAATTTGCTTCCCCCACCCCTTACCTAATGCCGACAGATCAGATAATGTTATGATTGGCGTGGATGTTAGTTAGAGACATTCACCTCAGAATATTAAAGGGCAAATGTTTCATATATTTTTGTACATATTTTGAGAGATGTCATATACAATTTTGTTGTTTCTGAAAATAAAGCATGAGATTTCTAGAGCCAAGTGTGTTAATTCTGTGCGTCGGATACACAGTGCTTGACAAAATTTAGAGTGTGTTTCTTTGCAATGATCTTAGCCTGCGTAGCAGACGTTTTCTTTCCATTTTCAAGGTGGGGAGATCGAGCAAGCGAGCAAGCAACCGAGCGCGCCTGGGGTAAGCAAAGACTGGGAAGAAGTGAAGGGGGGGGGGTTAGCCCTTATTTTTTCGCACTCCCTTGCAGTTTCGTTCTTTTCGAGCGCTTTTGAGAATAAACGTCTGTTACCCAGGTTACGATGATTCGATCTTCGGAATTCGGTTTATTCAGGTGTCACAATGTTTGTTTGGCTGGGGGTTAAGATACCTCCGTGTAATAGACACGAAAAGTCCCTATGGAATTCCTATATATATTATCTGTGATTTTCTGAACAATTTTTTTTTCTTCAAAATTCGGTTTATTCCAGTGTTACAATGTTTTTATGTGTTAGAGATATTAAGTTTTGCAAAGTACGGACACGCATGGTAACTTCGCTTGCGAATAACAGACACGAAAAGTAGTAATTGCCTTCCTCACGGTTGTATTTTTACCAAAAATTCTCCCATTTTTCTTGTGTGGCGCACCTGGTCAAGTGGACAAGCTCTTTTGACAACTTTTAACAATTATTATAGATCAATAACAATTACTACTAAACTTTCCATCCGTGCAAACCATACAAGCTTAAATTCTCAATTACTTTTCTCAATCTTCATTGGAAAGGGAAAATTTAAAAAATTTAAGACCTTGAACAGTTATCACAAAAATAAAACCAAAAACCTCACCAGCACACTACATCTCAACACAATGAACTTCTACTTTTTTTAGGAGCAAAAATGCGCTTCAATTTTCACCGCGCGGTTTAAACATTCTTAACCTTCTTGCTTTCCTCTGCTTTGCGATCAGAATAAAGTTATCGGAATACAATTGCAGGTAATGATTTTACTCGGGTTCCAGAAAAGAAATTTCACGCATATTCCTTAGTTGTCAAATGGAATTTAAATATCCCGCACGGACTAAAATGAGATGACGAACCAATCAAATGATTGCATTTAATCAGCCATGCGGTGCGTGGTCGCAAAACGTGTACAAATCTAAATTGCAAATCGTACATCGCTGATTGCTTCGTGGAGTTTTTTTGGTCGTACATCTTCCATGATGTTCTAGAATTTAACAAGCGAAAATTTAACTTTGCTCTTGGCCACTTCAACGAAAAAGCACCAAACTCTCATTTTGAACTGTCCTTTCGTTTGGAGCTGTTACGAAACACCACTGAATATCTGCAACAAGAATTTACTTCAAGCAAACCTTGCAAGGACGTGCTTCGAATAAGATACAGTTACCACGTCTTGCCAAGGTAGGAATTGAACACAAAACTAATGTATTTTGTAGAGGTAACTTATGCCTTTCTCTTCTTCTAGATTTCTCTATGAATAGTTGATAAACATTTCGAAACAATCAGCACTCTTCAAATATTGGTTAAACCTTGTCCAGTCAGTAACGAACGCCGACGTTTAGAACTCCTGACGGTGAATCCATTCGACCGACAGTTAGCTTTTGTGAAAGAGAACTTTAAAAGGACTGATAAAATTGAGTTCTTGTTCTTAAAAATGAATTTTGTATTCGCTCATTTTGCATTATGACGCTACTGTTTTACTTGTTTCAACGCAACGAAATTCCATGTTTAAAGGGTGTATTCTTAGCAGCAAGGCGAGCCTAGCTTTATTAGAGAAGGTCTAACTGGCTACGGTATCTATCTAAACAATCACAAATAACTAAGTAATCTCTTTTTCAAATTTTATCCTTTTCCAGGACTGAGAAATGACGGCGAAACTGACAAAGATCTCGGCGGTGTGATCCATGACACGATTATTTTCGCTGTCGCAGAACACGGTCTTTTTATCCTCCCTTCTGGAGTTGGGTGACCTTGAATGACCATTAAAAGGTTCCACCCACTCGCTCATTATAATGCAAATTAATCATTAGCCACGTGATTAATGCGAAGTAAACAGAGTGAACAGATTCACATCGGGATATTTCGAACAGATTCTATTCTGATTAATTTCTTATAACGGCTTTGTGTTTACAATATTAACATACATGATACGCTTAAATTTAAAACACTTGCGTCCCTTTTGCAGCAGAAACGATTATCTGCTAAATATGAAGAGTAGATGTTTTCACAATGATCATTTTGATCCCTGATGTTTATGTCTCTTAGGAACGCTAATTTGACTAATTTGCTCTATAACATGAAATTATTACCGTGAACGCAAATTGCAGACAAAATGCAAATTGTTTTGCCACAATATTTATATTTGAATAATTCGCCATTTTGAGTTCAGACCTTTCTGTGCATATTTACAATTTGTCCATTGAAATATGTATTTATTTAGTTGCAGAAGTGTTGACCTGATCTTTTGCTTATATTTCCGTAGTAACTCCTTGCGGCGGTTTCCGATGACTCTCATTGGTGGATTTTCATGGCTTTGATGTCTGAGAATCTTAAGGACGCCTGATGCCTGCGGACATGAAGAAGGCTCTGGATCAGGCACATGGTTTCTGAATCATGCTTGCATGTGTGGGTTCGGATCTTGATGCTTCGTTAGGTAAAGGACAATAGTTTAAGATACTTGTATCGTTAGAGACCGTGACGTCGTCAGTCGATTAATTTGTAGTCTTGATGAATCGCTAAATTCTCACAACTTATGCTAAAGGAAACGTATAGGAATTAGGAAAGAGAATTTATATCTTGAGCTCGAGACTGAAAGGATTGAGTAAACGCGGATCCATGTCATTGAAACCACAAACTAAAACAAATTTCTCGGAAGTTTTGTCATTTGCTTGTTTACCTCAGTCAGTTGAAATTGTCTTGAATCTCGCCATTTACAGTCAAATTGGACACGCACTAAACTATACAGATTGAAATATTTTAAACAGCATAGTTAAAAACTAAAAGTTCGCGGATGAGTTGTATATTCCGTGAAGTTTCGATTTATTACGTGGGATTTTTTTTTGTGACCATGAAACTCAATTTTAAAAGTTGTTTTGGAAGAAATTTCCGCTGGCTTGTTTACAGCCAATTTAGTTGGAATTGTTTTCTATGTCGCCAGATTTCGCTGTCTGGGTGACGGTAAATTCGACTTGCACTAAACTACACAAAAAGTTTTTCATGCACATTTTGAAAACGAAAAGCTATTGTGTGAATAAAACTTCAGAGTAGTTTCAATTCAGACATGGATCCGCTTTCAATTTGTATCGAATGCTTTTGAACGTTCCGGCAAATATATTTGCAAAGAAGTCATTATTAATGAGTCAACGCGAAGAATTTTCATGCATAACCAGAATAAATATTTATTTGAAACTGATGTAAAAAAAGCAATGAACCAGTTTGAATTTCAATGTAATTTTTCCTCACTAGTCTGTATTTTAATTTTACTTATTTCTTAGAATTAGACATTTCGCGATTAGTTTTTGCCAGAATTATTATCATAAGTAGTAATCCTTGTAATAATTTTAAATGTTTCAGAGTTGTTTCTTCGTCTTATTAGTTTCCACAAATAATTTTCAGACTTTGATGTTTTTCAACTTCTTTAATAAGATGATGTACCAATGTAAGTGTTGTAAACAAGTTTACCTTAATCAAACTTGTAAATTACATTAAAGAAAACAATAAAATATTTGACAACTATTGCTTGCTTTATTTCTCTTGTGTGTTTCATTTTACAAATGAAATGAAAAAAATTTTGCGCTTTTAAAAGGGGACTGGAAACTAGTCGGAATGTAGGCTATCTCTTTTACTATTTTTTGACTATGTAGGGTTGCCAAAAAGAAAAAAATTCTGCCCTTTTGAACAGAGTCTAGCCAGAAATCAAACAAATACTTTGACTTTTCATGGGAGAAATCTGTTGCACAGTGCAAGATTTTTCCCGCCAAAAGACTTAGTATATTTTTGACTCAAAACCAGACACCGTTCAAAAGCGCAGACTTTTTTTTCTAAGGACAATTTTCCCGCCAAAAGACTTAGTTTTTTTTTCCGACATTTTTTGGTCTCTTTTAAAAGCGCAATATCGTTAACCAAGAAACATTTTCCCGCCAAAAGACTTAGTTTTTTTTTCGACTTTTTTCCCGGTCGCTTTAAAAGATCAAATTTTTGCTATCGAAGACAAAATCGCTCTCAAAAGACTTAGTATTTTTCCCCATTTCTTTCTCGTTCGCTTTCAAAGCCCGAATTGTTTATCCAAGACAATTTTGTCGAATTTTTCCACGGCTACTTAAAAGAAATGACATTAACCCCGGATAATTTCCTGCCAAAAGTCATTTTATTACAATCTGCTTTGCCTCGCTTTGTCTTGCTTTGCTCTTTGGTTGCTCTGCTGACCTTTCTGATGTTTGCCTTTGAATCTAGAAGGAAAAAATCACAAACAAAGTAAGTCATAAAGCATTTTCTGTAGATAATGTTTTAGGTCAAATGGTTACAGTGTATTATTCCACTAGTTACAAGAAACCTGAATATCAACTTTGTTGACTAGAATTCATTCTATTTTGGCAATCTTCTCATGTCCTTTAACTGCAAGTTCTAAAATGCATAAAACAACATCCATTCCTAGCACTTCACTTCATTTCGTAAACAATTGAAACAATATTTAGAGGTTTTCTGCTCAATTTTATTTAGTTCTTATTAACCAAGCAGGAGGTCTGTATGGGAGAGTCATGACCAAGGTCGCGAGTACAGACCAAACGTGGTGAGGTCTGTACACATGAGCGAGGTCAAGATTCTCTAATATAGACCGACCAAGCTTGGCTAATAAGATGTTTATCATATGGCCCAACAAGAAAACTTCAATTGAATAATTCGCTGAAAGTGGCTTAATGTGGCCGGTTCATAGTCCCTACCATTTTGTGACTTTTGCTCAGAACAAAATCAAACTCGTAGACAGGTATATTTTCAATTTCTCTGACTAGCTTCTTTTCTTGACAAACAAAATTTCTCTAATTTTTGGATTCAGGTCTCAAACTTACATTTACCAAAGTTGGTTCATAATTTTGATTCACCTTTTTCTCGTCTTTTGGGCTCTTCCATTAAATATTTTTAGCAGAAACAAGCCAAATGATTTTCTATTTTTTATTTGCAACTTTCTCAAGGCAAGAGTAAAAGGCAGAGCAATCTTGATGCTGGTCTAGATGGCAAAATATCAATTCAATATAATCTTTGCCAATGATAGTAATCAATTTGGTAGTTCCCAGTCCTTGCCAGACACGGCCACATGATAAAGCTATTTTATCACAGCCTGACCTAACACCTTGTTCAAAAGGTTACTAACTTCTCAAGACTACAATTTGAAATTAAGCCTTAAATCAGTAAAATCTCTTTAAATCAACAAAAGAAATTACTAAAAATCACTAAGTTGTTGTAAAATCTTGAAGAACTGAAGTGTTGATTATAACAGATTTAGCTGATTCTTAACAGTTGGTATGACACTTACAGGAAAGTTTACAAGGCAAATCAGTGAAAATTTATGAAAGCATTCTTCAATATTTGCCAAGTTAGTATTGGAAATATCAGGAATGCAGAAAACGTTAAGAATCACAAATTTTGGAAATAGATTGGTCTTCACAGGTTCTGGGCCCCTTGATAAGTTTAAATAGTTTCCAGTCGGACAATTTGGGACTGGAAGTCCCCAGAAAAACGTTTTAAAATCATACACGAAAGCAGGCCCATACTAAGAGATATGTACATTTTACTAAAGAAACTAAAACTTTGTTAAAGACATACTCACCATTTGCTTGATAGAGGAAAGGTCCTTTCCAATGTTTTTGTTAATATTGCTCCATTGTTAATGAAATCAGTCATCCAGAAACTGTTTGAAAAAGAACAAGAAATCAATCCTTTCTCGCCCACTACTGGAGGTGACAATGTTACACTTAGCAAATGAAAATTTATGGCAGCTCACTAACTATATTATTGTTGCAGGCGAAACTTATTATAAATTAAAAAATTGTACTCTAAAATCTTTGCTTGATGAATGGTTCCTTGGTTTTAACTACCAAACTTAGCACACTAGATTACTGACATTACAGTCAGTAGACATTTAATATAATAATCATTAGTCAAGTTAGCTAATGTACATCTATGCTCTCATAGTTCAGGTGCTGATCTCCGCTGGAGCCAATATAGTGCTCTACAATGAAGGAGCTGTTATAACAAATTACATTGATAGACTACTCAGATCTTGAGTACATATGGAGTTTAATACAGGTCTGTTTCGTAGGCTAGCATAAAGCTAGCCCACTGCCTCATCAGTTGGTTTCCATATATGGTCTCATATATGCAGCTCTTATTTCTAATTTGGGTCAATTCACACAATGCTCTGAAGAAGACTATCTGGTGCATGGTTCTCTAGACTCTCAGGTTAAAAATAAAGACCCACTATTGACTATTATGCTTTTCATGGTCTGTAATTTAAAAGAGACTAACATGTTTTGGAACACTAGAGATGAAACTGTATTCACCTGCTGCAATGAAACAGAGATGCATTTTCTTAATCCTTTGCAAACAGTTCCATCATCATAAATCATTCACAAACTGTTGAAAGAAGCATTTTTATAATTAATAAATGACTGGTATTTTAATACACAGCTATCACAGCTATCCAACATTCAGCCAATTGTTTTTCTTGACATTGTCTTTTCAAGTGTTGATTGGCCAGAATTTTATCTAGTTTGTGGAAATGCACTTGTTGGTTACCCCTGCACCCCCCCCCCCCCCCCCCNTTTGCTCTAACCGTCATGCTTTACCTCTCTATTGTTCTATTTTATTTTCTCAGGCCATGCAAGAAGCCATGATGGAAAGTAAAGCGAGAAAGTTTTACCTTTATTCCGGAAGGGATTTTACGAGGCAATAGTTGAGTTCCTTTCACGTTCCTGACTCCAGGGTATTTACTTAAGATTGAAACAGAGACCTTAACCAAAGCACATTGTCATCACTCATTTGGAGACACCCCTGAGGGAGCTTGCATATGAAAATGTTGGGGATGCTGGTCGTCTCGAATGAATCAAGGATTTTGACCTCACTTAGGGTTTTCAGGACGAGATGCCACTATTCTTAGCTGTCAAAGTATCTTTTAGTGTACACTCAGAGAAATAATGATAACAAACACTCCTATTTCCCTTTTAAGACTTGATTATTGCCAATGTCTCAAGTCCGGTCTACTAGTGCTAGTTCCTTTCCCAAACAGTGGTTGGTAATCAAGACTATTCTGTTTTAAATGGTATCTTTTAGGGGTAAAATAGAGCTCAATTAAGCCATGCCCAGCTTGGTCACCTTTAGATTAGAATTCAAATTTTCTGATGACCATCCCCAACCTTTCATATAGGAGTCCCCTCCCAGGGGAAACACTTAATAGACTGTATATTTTTCCCCTAAACTATAAAGTAACAGGAAAAGAAATATGCCTGCACAGGTCATTGAACAAACAAAAAATCTTTCTCCCCCCCCGCCCCCACCAAGATCACATTTACGACTGAAACGTCAAAAACAGAAACACTATTTAAACACTAATTCTTAGTGCAGGCTCATATAAAACACAGAAAGGTTCTAAAATCTTAAAACCTAGGATGCACAATGTAATAAGTGCAGAGACAAATTTCGCAAAAATTGGACTTGGTTGCGTTAAGTGCGAAAGGCATAGTGGTAAAGTGTACAGCCGCCATGTTGTAGAGACGTTCTACACCATAACAAGTTACCCAATCAAAAGAACTAATTATAAGCAATTCAACAAGTATGAGATAACATTTCAGGCCCAGTACGAGGAGGGAAACCATCCACATTACATGCTTGCATGCTACTAAATTAAACTTCTCGTTTTACATTGAACTTTGGCGATTCCGAGAGTTTGAAGGTCGCAATTTCGTTGCTTACTTACCTCGAGCTTGCCTCTTTATATAAACAGCATTTTCTAGACAAAGAGAAAAGTACTTCCTAATCTTTCGTAGCTTGTGAGTTCCTCAAACATTCTAACTCTACGTCCAACACATGGTGATGCACAAACGCTTTCCCAGTCATCATAAACTCGGCGACCCTCGCTGGATGGAGGTCAAGTGATACTCGTGGTGCAAATTTTGAATAAATTAAATTTTGCATATTAGGAGACAATTGACCGGATGCAAATCAACAAGCTTTTCACTAGCCCCAAGCCTGCGCGTTGCAACAGCGGTTTCAGGATTCTCCTGAAAAAGGAAAACCTTGCGAAGTATAACAAAATTCTCGGCAATTTCTTACAGGGAATTTCTGTTCTATTTGATTTCTCTCTCCCCGGAATTTCCAGAGAATTCGGTTGAATGGTTGAGCGCTTTCCATTCGATAAAAAAATTTCAAACATTTCGAAACGGGATCAAATGGTACAGAAATTTCCAAGAAAATTGTTGAATTTCCGAAAAGCGAACCATTCAACCGAAAATTCCAGGAAGACTAAAACGGAACGGAAATTCGTGGTAAGAAATTTCCGAAAATTTCGTTATTCCTTGGAAGGTTGTCCTCTTTTCTGAAAATTCCGGAAACTACTGTTTCATTCGTCACTGGACACATGACAACAGTAAACCTGACAACAGTAACCTGAATTTTTCATCGAATGAAAAGCGCCCTACGTTTTCGCCGAAACGTTAAAATTCTAACTTGGCCGCGAGGCTAAGCTAAACAAAAACAAATCAAACAAGTTACTATTTTACTTTTCATTTTCAATGCGTTTTCCAGGGAAGTCTGGAAAACCCGAATAGCGAATAGCTAATAGTCGCGAATTGCGAATAGCGAATAGTCCCGAATAGTCCGAATATAGTCTCGAATAGTGCGAATAGTCGTCAACAGTCACCGCTTTTTAATTAGATCTAATATCCTGCGGTAATTAATTATCCAAATAAGCAACAGAATTTCAGAGAATTTATTAGCTTTTCTTCTCCGGACTCAGCCTAGGACTGAGTCCGGACTTGCGAAGTATAACAAAATTTTCGGAAATTTCTTACAGGGAATTACTGTTCGATTTGATTTCTCTCTCCCCGGAATTTCCAGAGAATTCGGTTGAATGGTTGAGCGCTTTCCATTCGATAAAAAAATTTCAAACATTTCGAAACGGGATCAAATGGTACAGAAATTTCCAAGAAAATTGTTGAATTTCCGAAAAGCGAACCATTCAACCGAAAATTCCAGGAAGACTAAAACGGAACGGAAATTCGTGGTAAGAAATTTCCGAAAATTTCGTTATTCCTTGGAAGGTTGTCCTCTAGATCTTTTCTAGAAATTCCGGAAACTACTGTTTCATTCGTCACTGGACACATGACAACAGTAAACCTGACAACAGTAAACCTGAATTTTTCATCGAATGAAAAGCGCCCTACGTTTTCGCCGAAACGTTAAAATTCTAACTTGGCCGCGAGGCTAAGCTAAACAAAAACAAATCAAACAAGTTACTATTTTACTTTTCATTTTCAATGCGTTTTCCAGGGAAGTCTGGAAAACCCGAATAGCGAATAGCTAATAGTCGCGAATTGCGAATAGCGAATAGTCCCGAATAGTCCGAATATAGTCTCGAATAGTGCGAATAGTCGTCAACAGTCACCGCTTTTTAATTAGATCTAATATCCTGCGGTAATTAATTATCCAAATAAGCAACAGAATTTCAGAGAATTTATTAGCTTTTCTTCTCCGGACTCAGCCTAGGACTGAGTCCGGACTTGCGAAGTATAACAAAATTTTCGGAAATTTCTTACAGGGAATTACTGTTCGATTTGATTTCTCTCTCCCCGGAATTTCCAGAGAATTCGGTTGAATGGTTGAGCGCTTTCCATTCGATAAAAAAATTTCAAACATTTCGAAACGGGATCAAATGGTACAGAAATTTCCAAGAAAATTGTTGAATTTCCGAAAAGCGAACCATTCAACCGAAAATTCCAGGAAGACTAAAACGGAACGGAAATTCGTGGTAAGAAATTTCCGAAAATTTCGTTATTCCTTGGAAGGTTGTCCTCTAGATCTTTTCTAGAAATTCCGGAAACTACTGTTTCATTCGTCACTGGACACATGACAACAGTAAACCTGACAACAGTAAACCTGAATTTTTCATCGAATGAAAAGCGCCCTACGTTTTCGCCGAAACGTTAAAATTCTAACTTGGCCGCGAGGCTAAGCTAAACAAAAACAAATCAAACAAGTTACTATTTTACTTTTCATTTTCAATGCGTTTTCCAGGGAAGTCTGGAAAACCCGAATAGCGAATAGCTAATAGTCGCGAATTGCGAATAGCGAATAGTCCCGAATAGTCCGAATATAGTCTCGAATAGTGCGAATAGTCGTCAACAGTCACCGCTTTTTAATTAGATCTAATATCCTGCGGTAATTAATTATCCAAATAAGCAACAGAATTTCAGAGAATTTATTAGCTTTTCTTCTCCGGACTCAGCCTAGGACTGAGTCCGGACTTGCGAAGTATAACAAAATTTTCGGAAATTTCTTACAGGGAATTACTGTTCGATTTGATTTCTCTCTCCCCGGAATTTCCAGAGAATTCGGTTGAATGGTTGAGCGCTTTCCATTCGATAAAAAAATTTCAAACATTTCGAAACGGGATCAAATGGTACAGAAATTTCCAAGAAAATTGTTGAATTTCCGAAAAGCGAACCATTCAACCGAAAATTCCAGGAAGACTAAAACGGAACGGAAATTCGTGGTAAGAAATTTCCGAAAATTTCGTTATTCCTTGGAAGGTTGTCCTCTAGATCTTTTCTAGAAATTCCGGAAACTACTGTTTCATTCGTCACTGGACACATGACAACAGTAAACCTGACAACAGTAAACCTGAATTTTTCATCGAATGAAAAGCGCCCTACGTTTTCGCCGAAACGTTAAAATTCTAACTTGGCCGCGAGGCTAAGCTAAACAAAAACAAATCAAACAAGTTACTATTTTACTTTTCATTTTCAATGCGTTTTCCAGGGAAGTCTGGAAAACCCGAATAGCGAATAGCTAATAGTCGCGAATTGCGAATAGCGAATAGTCCCGAATAGTCCGAATATAGTCTCGAATAGTGCGAATAGTCGTCAACAGTCACCGCTTTTTAATTAGATCTAATATCCTGCGGTAATTAATTATCCAAATAAGCAACAGAATTTCAGAGAATTTATTAGCTTTTCTTCTCCGGACTCAGCCTAGGACTGAGTCCGGACTTGCGAAGTATAACAAAATTTTCGGAAATTTCTTACAGGGAATTACTGTTCGATTTGATTTCTCTCTCCCCGGAATTTCCAGAGAATTCGGTTGAATGGTTGAGCGCTTTCCATTCGATAAAAAAATTTCAAACATTTCGAAACGGGATCAAATGGTACAGAAATTTCCAAGAAAATTGTTGAATTTCCGAAAAGCGAACCATTCAACCGAAAATTCCAGGAAGACTAAAACGGAACGGAAATTCGTGGTAAGAAATTTCCGAAAATTTCGTTATTCCTTGGAAGGTTGTCCTCTAGATCTTTTCTAGAAATTCCGGAAACTACTGTTTCATTCGTCACTGGACACATGACAACAGTAAACCTGACAACAGTAAACCTGAATTTTTCATCGAATGAAAAGCGCCCTACGTTTTCGCCGAAACGTTAAAATTCTAACTTGGCCGCGAGGCTAAGCTAAACAAAAACAAATCAAACAAGTTACTATTTTACTTTTCATTTTCAATGCGTTTTCCAGGGAAGTCTGGAAAACCCGAATAGCGAATAGCTAATAGTCGCGAATTGCGAATAGCGAATAGTCCCGAATAGTCCGAATATAGTCTCGAATAGTGCGAATAGTCGTCAACAGTCACCGCTTTTTAATTAGATCTAATATCCTGCGGTAATTAATTATCCAAATAAGCAACAGAATTTCAGAGAATTTATTAGTTTTTCTTCTCCGGACTCAGCCTAGGGCTGTCCATCGCCGACATTAAGAAAACAGAAAACAAAAGGACAACCTAATAAAGACGTATTTACGCTTTTGCAGAGGTTAGAACTGAAGAAATTACGTTTAGAAACACCTTTTGTCCTGATTAGCGTCTGCGCTTTTTAGCTAGAAAATCCCATCCTATTTTGCTGTGAGGCTGACTGGGAGATACTGGGTACCCTATTTGCTACGATTTGCCGCTATTTGCCACTATTCGCACTATTCGAGACTATTCGCACTATTCGTACTCGCTATTCGCTATTCGGGACTATTCGCTGTCCGCTATTCGCGGCTATTCGCTATTCGGGTTTTCCAGACACCCGTTTTCCAGTTTATTTACTTATTATTCCCCCGAGCCAGAAATTCAAGTTGGAAATTTTGATATTTTACTTAAAATTATTTCAATAACTTCAACTTCTCTTTACTTGTACTTTATTTTGAAGTTACAGTTTTGAAATTACAATATTAGCATAAAAGAAAAAAGATACATATATAACAATTAAAGGTGACAATGGTCTATAGTTTGTGCATGGAAGCTAATAGAACAGCGAGATTATCGAGTTAGCCTATCGTTTGAGCGAACATAAAAAAACATGGGAATAGAAGGATGGATTACTAAGAATAGAAGCTAGAAAAGTAATAAGCCCCCATTGCAGAGTTCTTCAGTTTTTGTATTTGATGTCATTACTCAGAGGCACGGGCGAAAATCTGAAGACTTTTACTGTTTTCAAATACCTTGTCATGCCTTATGTCAGAAATACAAGAAAATAATTAGGCTACTCCGGACTTCGTTTTAGAAATGAGAGGATGGAAATGATTTTATTTTAAGTGGGTTTACTGAATTAATAATTTTAAGTGTACACTAGTGTTTAGTAAAGTTTGAGAATATAATTATAGATCTTCCTCTCAGTTTCTTTTACGTCTTCTATACTAACTTTCCCTTCATTAATGGATTAAAAAACGCGAAATAATAAGGAAAATTAAAAGTTGGTTATAATTCAATAGTTTGAAAGGCAGCTGCATTCTTTAAATTTCCGCGAAAAATTTACGCTAGTATATGGGCTAGTTCTAAGTAATATGAGTGAAATGAATTAACAAGTCAAAGTTAACGGAACAATTTCTCCAGTGATGCCCTCCTCGTGTTATGGTGCACCGCAATGCCTAAAACAGGAAGAAAAAATGTCATAGTTAGCGAGAAAGTAAAAGAATTCTTTTACACTACTTGTATAATCTTTCAACCTTGTTCTTAAACAGGACCCCTTTGATGACAATTATACTTTCGATGGCTGTTATTATTTTATTATTACATGAATGCCCTAGGCAGGTTTCTTTATTTCTACGTTTCTTTTCTAGCTGCGTGGAGTAATTTCCATACGACTGATAAACCAATCTCATCTCGCCAGCCCGGACGACAAACGAGAAGAAACTAACCAACATACAACCGGCGCGGGAAAATTTGCAACTTGTACCAAGCGCGTAAAAGCATTCATGCAGCTGGTGCCAAGCGCGGGAAAACGCCCGTCAGCAAACTTACATATTCTCTGATTGGTTCTTGCATGCGGTATACCGAGTTTACGAAACGTAGCGAAAGCTTAAGTCAATACTAGCATAGAATAGCGCTAGACTATATGGAAGTACTTGAAGTTCTCTTTTTGTTTTAAAACTACAGTTTCGAAAAGAATAGCTTCAGCAGTCATGCACGCTAACAACTACAAGCCTCACTTGTGAAACAATCGCTCACTGACTTAGACCCAGTCTTCCGTCCTCCTTGCAGGGCGAGAGGCTTGGGACAGGGGGTACATTTGTGTCAAGTTGCTGGACTGTTCTCTGTATGTCCCTGCTTCACAAGGTAACGCTTTGTTTGAAAACAAAGGACAAAAATAGCCAGCAGGACAAGGCACTGAAAGAGATTTGTAAGACTATTTAACATAATAGTTGCCAAGTTTGATCGATACCTGATTTCTCCCTACCATATTAGTAAATAGTCGAACAGCCAAGTAATGAGAAGAATGAAAACCATCAACTAGAAGAGTTTAAAGCTCACTCCCTTTGGGCTCCTGGCATTATAGCGACTCACCCAACCTATTTACATGTAAGTTTAAAATTAGCCGGAGTACTTCTACTCCCTTCAAAGGTTTTTGTAGTTTTTTTGACAAAGTAGATAAACATGAAGACTTTTTTTTAAGCTCAGTTCCTCCCCCACACCTCGCGGCTCTTGTCCAGGTTGTTAGAGTGCAGGGCATAACGGGCCGTGCTTGAAAGAGAAAGAAAAGAAAAACTGGAGAGAGAAACAGTAAAAGTTCTCTACCCAGTCCCTTACAATTTCCTCGATTTATTTTGGCCGACGCCTTTAGAGTCTGGGGCAGATCAGTTCTGACAACTTAGATTAAAATTGGCTAGGTGGGAACCCTTTCTGTGATTTTCACCAACAATCTAGGTGGAAAATGACAACGACTGATTGTAATTAGAAATGACTTTACCGAAGTCAGAGTCACAAACCTGTTTTCAAGGAATACCTTGCGGAGGTCAGAATACCTTTGTTATAAGCATAGCAAGTGTAGTTTCCCTCGTCATCTTTGGTTATATTCGTGATTTCAAGATTACTGTCGAGTCGCTTATGCGCAAAGTTTACATGTATGTACTTATATCGACCGCCTTCTCTCACTGCTACGCCAGACTTGACGAAAATGGCGGCTTGGGCGTTTTTTATCTTGCAGGTAAGGTTGATCTGGCTTCCATAGTAGGCGATGTCGTTCTCCTGAAGACCAAAGCTTTCAATAAAAGGCTGACGTGCATGTTTTACTGCAGAACAACAGGAAATAAAAGAGTTATTGTAAAGTTTAACTTTTTTATATATATATATATTTGGTAATAAAGCTTGTTGTTGTCGTTGTTGGTAAAATCAGGGAGTTATCAGGAATTTTCAGTCCCTGTCATTCCGATTACAGTGATTCGAAATCTTCGAGAGTGGTCGTTAATCTTCCGACACCTTCGGGTGATCCGAAGTTCTCGGTTCAACTTAGGAATCTTCGGTGGCCCTTCGGTAATCTTCGTCGATCTGAATATTATATCTTCCATTTTTATGCTAAAGGGGGTTAATTACGAAGACAAGTGCAACTTTTTCCAGACCAATCCGTTAAAGAAAATTACAAGTCACCAACTGTCATAAAAATCCTTACATTTTAACCCGAAAAGAATAGCTTCAGCAGTCTTGCACGCTAACAACAGAACAGTAACTTTGAACTACAAGCCTCACCTGTGAAACAATCGCTCACTGACTTAGACCCAGTCTTCCATCCTCCTTGCAGGGTGAAAGGCTTGGGACAGGGGGTACATTTGTATGTCAAGTTGCTGGACTGTTCTCTGTATGTCCCTGCTTCACAAGATAACGCTTTGTTTGAAAACAAAGGACAAAAATAGCCAGCAGGACAAGGCACTAAAAGAGATGTGTAAGACTATTAAACATAATAGTTGCCAAGTTTGATCGATACCTGATTTCTCCCTACCATATTAGTAAATAGTCGAGCAGCCAAGTAATGAGAAGAATGAAAACCATCAGTTAGAAGAGTCTAAAGCACACTCCCTTTTGGGCTAATGGAATCATAGCGACTCACCCAACCTATTTACATGTAAGTTTAAATTAGCCTGAGTACTTCTACTCCCTTCAAAGATTTTTGCAGTGTTTTGACAAAGTAGATAAACATGAAGACCTTTTGTAAGCTCAGTCCCTGCCCCACCCCTCGCGGCTCTTATCCAGATTGTTAGAGTGCAGGGCATAACGGGCGGTGCTTAAAAGAGAAAGAAAAGAAAAACTGGGGAGAGAAACGGTAAAAGTACTCTACCCAGTCCCTTTCAATTTCCTCGATTTATCTTGGCCGACGCCTTTAGAGTCTGGGGCAGATCAGTTCTGACAACTTGGATTAAGACTGGCTAGGTGGGAACTCTTTCTGTGATTTTCACCAACAATCTAGGTGAAAAAAGACGACTGATTGTAATTAGCAATGATTTTACCGAAGTCAGAGTCACAAACCTGTTTTCAAAGAATACTTTGCGGAGGTCAGAATACCATTGTTATAAGCATAGCAAGTGTAGTTTCCCTCGTCATCTTTGGTGATATTCGTGATTTCAAGACTACTGTGGAGTTGCTTATGCGCAGATTTTACATGTATGTACTTATATCGACCGCCTTCTCTCACTGCTACGCCAGACTTGAGGAAAATAGCGGCTTGGGCGTTTTTCATCTTGCAGGTAAGGTTGATCTGGCTTCCAAGGTAGACGATGTCGTTCTCCTGAAGACCAAAGCTTTCAATAAAAGGCTGATGTGCTCGTTTTACTGCAGAACAACAGAAAATAAAAGAGTTAATGGTAAAATCAGGGAGTTACCAGGAATTTACCCTGTCATTCCGATTACAGTGATTCGAAGTCTTCGAGAGTGGTCGTTAATCTTCCGACACCTTCAAGTGATCCGAAGTTCTCGGTTCAACTTAGGAATCTTCGGTGGCCCTTCGGTAATCTTCGTCGTTCTGAAGTTTATATCTTCTATTTTTATGCTAAATGGGTTAATTACGAAGACAGGTGCAACTTTTTCCAGACCAATCCGTTAAAGAAAATTACAAAAGTCACCGACTTTCATTAAATCCTCACATTTTAACCCGACATGGAAATTGCCACAGTTGGCGAAACTGAAAATCAATATTTACCGAGTAAAAACTGGTTTCCCACGTTCTACAAGAAATTAGAAGATGATCACATTTGCATAGGTTATTGCATAGCCGCATAAAGTAGCTGTTGATTGTTTGGGCAACGATTTTCTTGCAAACAGGTTTCGCGGAAAATCAAATTTGTTTGCGAACAAGAGACAGCAGTCGAGGAGACAGGTTGAACCAAGGTGCAATTTAGAAGGTAGAACTAAACCCACAGGATTCATGCAACTTATTAGAAGGATTAAAAAAGGAAGAAGAACAAGAGTTGTGCGAAAAATCACGCATGATCTTGCTACAAACCTTGCATTTCGTGACATTTTGCTCTAATGTCGTCACTCGAGCACAAGGCGTCTTTGGAATGGCTTCCATCGGTCACGCAACTAGTGAAACTCACTTTTCCAAGATCTGTTGCTCCAAATCCGCTGCTCTGATCGCAAGGACAAGAAAATGTCTGCACCGTGCAGTTGGGCTTGAAGACCAAACCAGTGACACAAGCGTTTGCAAGGGATATAAAGACGAGGGTGTAAAATAGCATCATCATTGGCGCGCGCTCTGTGGAAAAACCGAGGTATCGATCCTATAGAAGGACAGCGGAAAATTTTGACACTTATATAGGGACTTATAACATCCGTTTTTTCCTAGTAAAAGAGGTGGGCTTTGGCACCCGTCGGGTTTTATGCTCGGCTCATTAAACATGTAAAAAAATTTCCTGGATTGGCTATCTTGCATGATAAAGCATTAATTAATTTCTAAAAATATAATTTTGTGAAACACTAATCTCCATATGAGTAGGTTTGATCAGTACCGCAACCAAAAAAAGTAGGAAAGTAGCTTTTTTTCGCTTAACTATTCTGTGTTTCGACCAGCAACTGGTTTCGAACCCTGCTGGGCGATGTAGCAAGACCGCCGATGGGGTGACACAGTTGATAACAGTTTGAAAACGATTTTTTAAATTTTTCTGAGAATATAACTGTATCATTAGGTCTTCTTGGAAAGCGACTGAGATAATCTATTTTTAATTATTTTAAAAGGAATGAAATAAGTAAACTCATTCAAATATCTGAAATACCTCTGTAGTCAGTCCTCTACCCCGCCCTTTGTCTAGTCAACACTTATTATAGAATTTATCCGTTTTCTAATACAACATTTTTATACCGGGCTAAAAGATAAGCGATTCTCTAGTTGCAAAAAAAAACGGAGCCTAAGGTATTGTGTGTATTATCAATCATGAACTCTTATAAGGACTTTTATTTTCTATAATTATGTAGCCTGTACCAAGCTCTCGCGGATTGAATGCCCTTTGTATCATCAATCTGCCGTGAACACGCCAAACGGAACACCGTTTTAATATGTTCCCCTTCCCACGTGTCGTCAGTCTTCCTCTTTAGTACAGGTATCTGTGCACATCTAGAATAAATACATCGATATCATCCTGAACTAGGCTTGAAAGTATTTTTAGCTAAACGATAATTATCAATGATTTACATCTCGCCATCTGCATTTTCCTAGTTCAATTAGTTAAGCCTAATACAAACGCATTATCTGTCAATATATATATATAATTTGCTATTTTTGAGGAAGTCAAATTAGTCCACCCTGTAACCAAACTATCTCCAAACTGTAGCAGACGAAGAACTTAATGGACCACAGAGGGAACCAAAAAAGCTCAGTCACCCCATGTGCGTGCCTGAAGTCCCGATAAGTTGTAATATTACATATTTTAAATGGCTGTAACCGCCCGCCATATTTAAAGCAACCAGAAACAGTGCAACGATAACAGCCATTCCTGTAATTTCTTAAGGCAAGTTGCATGCCCGAGCTTGGTGCGAAAATTACGATTACGATTAATAAGACAGCTAAACTACAAAGGAGGGAGCTGGGCACGGTGGGTTCTCAGTTGTTACCTAGAAAATGTGGGTTTCGGTTAAAGATGCTTTTATCAAACCTCTTAAAACCATACAACATGTATGATCTACATTCGCTGTCAAATTGAGGTATCTTCGACCCATTAAACGTTTTGGCTTGAGTCTGATGAATTAGTAAGTACCGTAGCAATAATTTGTTTTGCTTTTATATTCCCTCATATTCCCTAGAGCCGAGTTTACCAGCGGTTGTGTTCAGAATTATGCAATTTGCTCAAGAGTTCGATTGTCCAGTACAAATATAAGATGTCTATTTTCACTAAGGTTGATTGTTTCAAAAATCGTCCCTTGGAAAAAAGAATTATTTCCATGTAAGACTTCATCTTTTCTCTTAACTCCGTTCCCAAAAGAATATCAGGCTTGTGAAAATTCCCCGGAAAATTCAGCGACATATCCAGAATATCTGAAACCACGCCCAGTTAACTTCATTCTGCTCGCACTGTTCCAGAACTGGTTGCAGAACTGTAACAAAATTCCCAGTTCTTCATCAAAAAGGAAGTGTTTCTGTTTATACAGATGATATAGCTTCCGGTACTCGAAACTACCGGACCACCGG